AGCAATTAATCTACTAAACTTCTAACAGACTCCGAGGCGCGCTACAGCTCTGCCTTTGTGCAACAGCAGGCTAGCGCTCTAAGTGACTTCATCGCTCCTCACACTTTGCCAAACAGTAGCAAAACCGAATTACCAATTATTTTTTTTCATTGCATTTGTATAGAAGTTGGAATAGTGACTAAGCGGTCAATTCTCATGGCAGCTAATGGGAAAAGTACGGTAAAAGTTTCAGGAAAAAAACCTGCACCAAATTCTCATCTTCACAAGGCTCTTGAGATGAGCTGTGCTCCCTCCTAGGACCCGGAGGAACCTAATTTCCAGGTTGACCAGAGGGTCATCAGAGGCTAGTAGAGAAAATCCACATTTAGAGAGTCAGAGCAGCGCACTGGGGCTGACGGCCTCACTCTTCCCCTGTGTTGCCTGCCAAGGAAAAGATGAAAACGCCTTTGCCACTCCATTAATCGGTGTTAAAATACTGATACGACTTCTCCAGTCCTAGCCATCCCAAAACAACTTCAATTAACACATCCTAGAACTGAGCTTTGGAAGCTTATTTTAATGTTGCTGTTTAAATCTGTTGTATTAAAAGTAATATTTTGGGTAAGTTGTTTTCCCTCCATGTTGCCGTTGTTTCCCCATTTGAGTATGGAAACTAATGAGATTTTCTTTCATTTAAAGTGCTCCTAAGTCTAGGTGTGAGACATACTGTGGTAGAAACATTAAATATTTGGGTTTTTTACATGAAGTATTTATGTAACACACAGCTTTTTAAGCTGATAGGACTATGATCATGCATGAAAAGTTTCAACCTGCACAGGGAGAAAAAGATAAATAAATCCAACTGTAAATGGAAGGTCTTTCCCGTCTTAACTATATGATTGATGATAATTCATCAATCAGTAAAACCTTTTTCCTGTGTAATCTCACTTTTTTTTGGCTGTTAGGATATTGCAACAGTGACAGCAGGGAGTGAATAAAGTAGGTATAGCCATGTTACTTCTTAATACTCATATTAAGTCTTCTCTCAGGGAAATGATGAAAACCATATCATTTAAGTTATTTATAATGTGACTTGAGGAAAAATTCGGAAGAGAGATGACAGTGTAGTACAAAAAGAGTTTTTCTTCTTTAATTTCTATTTTTAGATTTCAACTATCCCTTTTCTATCTTTTCGCAATTCAGAGGCCAGTTTAGGAAAAAATGTGATCTTTGTTTTGTGCAAAGGGGGGCTGTGTGTATATATACATCTATATTAATTTTTTTGTATATACATAATGTAAATGTATAAGTTATTCATTACTGTGAAGCTATGGCACATTATATTTAGCACTAGCATTTACCACCAGTCCTCAAATAATTTATTTTTTTTGTAAAGGGCTCATGTATTCAATTGCAAGTTAAAAGTTTGGTAGAGTACACAAATTCATTAGCGCAGAGGTCCAGTACGCAAAAACCTTGAAATGAGTCTCTGACCTGGCTTTTGAAATAAAGATATTAAGATATTTTGGGTAGATGTTTACTTCCCCACTTATGCTTTAAGCTAGACAGTCATAGACAGTCATCAACTATTTTGTAAGTCAGGGATGAATTTCGGGTGTCGTTTTTTCCAATTTTCTCTTTCATGATTGTGATTAAAAAGCCTTCCACTCTTGTGTTTATTTTCTATTATTTGAAGTCAATAACTTTCTACTTCTTGATACATGAAAATAATTAGATGATGGTTGGATAAATAATGCATCTGAAAACAGAGCCGAGCTGGATAAATAACAGATGAAAATTACCCTGTTAGTGTCATAAGTCTGAAAAATATTTTTCCATCTGGGTAGGGTGCTGAGCTAAAGTTATCTTGTTAGCCCTTTTTCAGGGAAGAGAAATCTTGTTGTGCAGAATGAAACTGAAACAGTGGTAGGGAAGAATGCTGTTGCTCTTTGCACCTTTTCGGTAGCAGAAACAAGAAGAAAATTGGGCAGTAACAGAAACAAGTGCGTCTTGGTGTTGGAGCAGTTCTTAGCACTGATGGTGTACAAGAGGAGGCTCCTATGGGCTGTGAGACCGAGATCTAGCGCGGTGATGATAAGACGTTGTAACAAACAGCAAAAAGCCACCAATACTGTTGTGTTCATATTTCTCTGTCAGATGGAGCGGCTGCTACATATGTCTCCCTGAGTAGCAGCTTAGTAAATGCACTGAATCGCATTTTGAATCTCTTGTCCCTGCCTCACTAGGGAAATGAGTTAAGGATGTGTAGAGGAGCAATGCAAATAATCTTTTTCTCAGGAAAAAAGTAGCTTAATTCAAGCTAGTATTGAAAAACAAATAAAATAAGGTTTAGGCTGATGCTAGAAGAGATATTTGAGGTAGTAGTCTGTATGTCAGTGGCAATTTACTCTGAAAATAGTGTTTATTAACCCAAATGTGTTAGACTTGAAAAATTAAGCAATATGAAGATAAGGGGTGCTCTACCCTGGATGATAATGTAAAGTTTGGTAAATGCCAAAAATGCAGATGGAAGGGCAAATCCGTGAACAGGGAACAGACAGCACACCAGGCAGGGCAAGGCCAGAGAGAGAGCAGGCAGGAAAACACCAACAGAAGACACCTACAAAGAGACAAAAATTGGTTCTTTGGGAAAAAAAAAAAAAACAAACCACAAAAAAACAACTATGAAAAGTAATGCAGAAATAAAGTTCTGGATTAAGATACTACTTTCTTCCTTTGGATCTGCAAAGTAAAACTGACGTCTGTGTCTCCCTCTAATATAGACATCAGTCATAGAGCTTGATTCGCATAGTGGAGTTCAATAGACATAATCTAAATCTGAAATATAAATACCTGAAAAGAGTATGTATAATTCTCATGATATATGAATTGGGGTTTTTGTTTGGTGATTTGTTTGGGTTTTTTTTACAAAGCTTTTCTTCTACCAGATGAGGTGCCTACACGTCCATAGGCACTGCAGAAAAACTGTTGTACTTTTTTCTGATGTTAGTGAGTTTTAGTTGCCTTTAGGATTTCTATAGAATAGACATATTTGAATTAAAGCAATATTATCATAGTGGTATAACTGAACAGAAGGGTTAGTCTGGCATCTATTGCTATAAAGGTTGTTTTGTGGTGACAAAGTTTTCCTAGCATACAATAACAAAACCACAATTTAAACATTAATTTCACTTTGGAGTGAGAGGAGATACTGAACTAAAATCTTTATATGTTGTGGTAGTTACCTCACTTGCTAGTGAAATGCAGCTGTTTCTGGGGATGTAGCATAGCTCTGCAAATACCCTGGAACAGGTTAGGGTAAGTTTGAGAATAACTTATTGTAGTGAGAGAAGTAGAATGAAAATACCAAAATGTACAAGGATGCCTTGCTTTGTCCAAAGTATGCTGGGTTGGAGAGTAACCATAAGGGATTCATGTAATGTCTTCTCCAGAAAACTATACCGGAGCATTATTTAGATAGTGCTTTTTATTTAGTAAAACTATTTCATTTCATTTTATTGGGGGGCCCCAGTTTAACAAGCCCTAAAAGGCCTGACCGTGCCTTGGTGATGTCCATCTGAAGCACATCATGAACAAATAGTAATGAAATCTATCCTAGCTATATGAACTTAAAAAAAAAAAAAAAAAAAAAAAAGGAATGATTACGTATATTTAATAGGGGATATTACTTCTGTCTCAGCTCAGAAAATGTTTCCTTCAGATGATATGTAATAGCTTTTTCTTTTTTTCTGTATATAATTATAAATTTTGTTTAACATTTTAATTTCTAATCCACTGGGAATCAGTAGCATCTATTCCTTTTTATTGCAAGCTAGCTTGTTAATTTGATAAAGAGTCTGTCAGCATTTCTTTTGCATATTTTGTTCCTTTGTGGGCTTTAAAAAACTCCTGCTACACTGTATATTATTCCACCATTTGTGGCTTGAAACATTGCCTAAATGCTAGCTTATGTTTCCCCATTTTCATCCCATAGCTTTTTATGTCTGACAACTCAAGTCTTGCAGTAATAACATCGAGTTCCTGCTATGCTTAGAAAAACACCACCCATTTAAAAATATCATCTGCCACCCTTTTATTGCACAAGGGATAGATCTACTTTGGAGGGTTGCAATGTTTTGTTTGACTCGCTGTTTTTTAGACATGAGGTTTTTATATAAATTCCAAAATGCTTTTGCCTTTCATGGCTGATCGCTTTTTGGAAAAGTCAAAGTGGAAGTTTTTCTGGCTGACTTCCACGTGTAGAAGAGTCTTCAAAAAGTCCTTTCTGTATGTGCTCATTGTACTAATATGAAGCCAAAGTTTGTAGAGACTTCACTGCTTGGAAGTACTATCTCTGTTCTGTCACCAGTCTTATCTGTTAAATCCCAATGAGTGTGAAAAACGAGAAAAATCTGGGTTTGCTTGGCTGTTTCAACAATGTGTTGAGAATGGCCAGATTGCTGGAGAAGATGATTCTCTTGGAAACCTCAACAGCCCAGCCTCCTCATCTGTAGGCACATAAAGCTCATCTGAGTGTGTAAATAAAAATAAATAATGCAGTGTAAAAATATGCAGAGTATTTTGCTGAAGTGTGTCAATTTTTGATCTGCCATAACTAATTTAAATCTTCTGTTGGGATTTATGCAGGCAAGGGGTCAGGTTTAAGACATTTGTAATTTAAAGGTTTCCTGCTACTACACCTTTTCTACTTTTATATCCTATCAGATCTTTTTTCTGCAAAGAAAGTCCCTTTTATTCCCTCTTCCTTTCCTGCTTTGAAGAGAACATTTGCTTCTCCATTTATCTGAGGTAATGAGAACAGAGTAGCTCTGGATTCTTTAAATCAGTCTAATTGGGCTTCTTTGAGTGTATAGAATACCCTTTTTTGCACAGGACTTTTATTTCTTTGTGCAGTCTCTCCATCTCCAGCACTCAGTATCTTACATGCTTTTTTAATTTAAAAAAAAAAAAAAAAAGGCAATTGTCATCCAAATGGCTGTGGTCTCTGTTCTCTCTTCCAGGCTGATTCACGGGGGGCAGCTGTTAAATGGCTTGGCGGGGCCAACTGTGATGAATGCGGCACCATTTCTTTCCACGACGTGGTTTTCTCCAGATGAACGTGCCACAGCAACAGCCATCGCGTCCCTGCTCAGTTACCTGGGTGCTGCTGGCGCGTTTCTAGTGGGACCTCTCGTAGTGCCATCTCCTAATGGAACATCTCACCTCCCGCTGCTGTCGCAGAGCAACGCTGAGCACATAAAGGACCGCATTGAGGCTGTGCTGTATGCAGGTGTGGTTTAAAAATAAAAATTAAAAAAAAAAAAAGAAAAAAAATATAAAAAATCTACATACTTTGATGTGTGTATTTGGTACTTGTGAACCACTACCCTCTAGTGGCTGGTCTGCACAGAAAACAGTTACTGACTGATGGAAAAAGGTGGTAAAATGTTGTACCATCAGAAGGGTTAATTTATTTTTTTTCCTTTTGTGTAGGAAAGATTTAAAAATAGCCTTTTGTACAGACTGATTCCAAATGAAGTATTTCAGTTGTTTATATCAGCTGATCTTAGGAGAAATGTCTTCTAGGAGAGCTTACACATTCCCTGAGCTTCCAAACTGGTTTTTGCTTCTTGAATTTTCATTAAAGTATGTGTCCATTACAGGTTGAGTTTTTCTCTTTTGTTTCTGTAAGGATGGAAATCCAATAGTCTTTCAGCATTAAATTCTTTCCTGCATTAAATTGGCTTTAATTTATGACTTGCATATGGCTTTCAAGTGTGATTAGATTATTAGTATTTAAGAATCTAACACTGAAATTAAAACTCTAGATTTTGGGTTTAACTAAAACCACATAATTCTTACATGGTAAGCAATTTCAATGACGTGACAACAGTTTAGTGGTAAAAAACACTGATATAAAAATCACCTGAAATGACTTAGATTTTACGTCCTTGCTCTTTTTCATGCAGTGGTTTCTACGGCTCTGTGTCACTTGCAGAAATTAGTAGCAAACTTTAAGGAAGAAGAGTTGCCTAAGTGGCTTAAGAGTCTACAATCTGATTCTTAGTGATTATAAACTGGTATAGCATTAAGAGCAACTGAACTTTACCATGTCATGGCAGTTGCACATTTGGTTGGGGTTTTCCCCCCTTATAATTGCAGCCTGTGAAATTCAGCCTGGAGTTAGCCCTAAGTGTTCCCGAAGCCGTGAAGTATGTATACAGTGTAGTTTATATACAGGTTTATGGGATTGACTTAGCTATTTGTGATGATTTGGTCCTGTACGTTATTCCTTTGGAAATTTTGTCAAGTTAATACTACTGTTGGGTGAGGGCCACTTTACTGTTCGTTTTAAAGAAAGCGTAGTACAACTTGGATCGCTATTTTAGCAAGTATTTTTTGAGAAAACAAAACCTTGGAACAACAAGGAAATTTGGGTTTGGTTAGGCTTTTTTCAGAGGTAAGTATGATGTTAGACTCTGAAAATCTCGTGGCAGATGAAAACGGCCAGTGTGACAGAAGGAAAAATGAAGGCAAGTCAGCTTTTGTCCTGAGCAGCAGTAGATAAGAGGAGGAAAAATCTAGCAATTGGAGAAGTGCTTTAGCTCTCCCTCTCCAGATCTTCCACGGAGAGAGAAGAATTCATCCACCCTAAGGAAGTACAGTTTTGTGCCTAAACCCATTGTTTTGAGTCTGGTAGCACTAGAGATGTTGCTTTCAGCAGCCCATTAGATTCACTTTCTCTTCTGTTCTCTTTTGGGAGGCTTTCCTAAGCATTTTCTTCAGAAACTGTGATGGATCTTGCTTGCCACTGAGGTTCAAAGGTGTGTCTGGCCTGCCCCATGTCTCAGCATGGCTCTTTCTGCCTTTCTGAACTGGCAAGGGTTTGGGAACATCCCGTAGACCTGTTTGGGTTCATTGGTCCCAGCATGAGATGATCCTACAGCAGCTCTCCAGCTTCCTAGGAAAAGTGTTTTGTGGGGTATCTGTAGTTCTTACTTAGTATATGAAAGTGCTTTGAACAGAGGTGGGTTTCTTTGTGCAGCTGTGGTTGTAGTTGTGTTGGATGGGGTGTATCTTTTCAGGAGCTACAACCCCTTTTGCTCTTGAGGCAAGGAAAAAGAGCTCGTTCCTGAATGTTATTGGCCTGTGTTGAATTACAGTGATGGTGGCAAAAACGTCCAGCTGGTTTAAAATAGGAACTGTCAAAGAGGAGGTTGCTTTGAATCCCTTGTAGGATTTGTCCCGTTTCATCTCATCCCTATTTCCCTGGAGAGCTGAAAGACCGAGGTCCCCACTGTCTTGCCTCCCTGTGCTCTCTTATGCCAGGTAGGCTGCAAAGGTGGAAGGAAGGCTTCCTCGTGGTGGGTGACTACCTGGGGGCAGTTGTACAGCTCTCTTCACCTATGGACTGAAAAATACCTGATAGCTGTAGTAGGGTATTATTTGTCCCCTTAATCAGCTGGGCAGAGAACGAAGCTCAAACTGACTTCACAGGTTACTAGATGCAAGGTGTTACAGAATGAGGCAGAACAAGGAGCTGGACCCAAGTGTCCCACTTCCCCACTTCTTTAGCAAGAGTGGTCAGGCTTGGTATGACTTCTCCTTTCAGATACTGTGGGAAAGCCAGTTTCATAGGAAAAGCACTGAGCATTCCTAATGGAGTTATGTTTGTGATGGAGCTTGTTGCTGTTGTGTGAGGCAGCGTTATATAAGCCTCTAAAAGTTAGGTGATGACTTTTGAAAGACAGTAATGATGTGAATTACTAACTTGGGATCAGTAGCATGCCAGAGTGTGCTAACTTTCCAAAGACTTAACCACAAACATGATTACAAAGCAATTGCTTATAAACCCATTCTGAAATTGCTAAGTTAACTCCAGTCTCTTCTATGTTTTAATAAATTGCTGTTCCTTTATCTCAAATGTGGACTAAGAGCTCAACTGAATTACCACAGCCTCTTTGTGTGTCATCTGTGTCTCTGCACATTCTGGTTCATAGCTGAAATAGTACAGATGTAGCAAATCAGGATTGAATTGTATTACCTGAACTGCATAAGGAAGCTGGAATTATTCTGGTCAGCAGCCAGAGCTTTTAGCCATGTGCTAAGTATTAGTGTAGAATCATTATTAAAAAAAAAACCAAACCAACAAACAAACAAACAAAAAAACCCCAAAACAAAACAAACCAAAACAAACAACCAAACCAAAAACCAAAAATAACCCAAAAAAGAACAGTGACTGTTTGTGTAAAAAGCCCTCATTCCCCCTTTACATTTCAGGACCAGATGGGGGAAGACAGTCTCTGGTTTTGGGTAGGTTTTTGTGCTATAAGTAACCTATCAGAGGGAAAAAGAACTTGTATCAAGGAGGCTTGTGTCACTGTAAACCTCTTTCTTTTTTTTTTTTTTTTTTTTCTTTTTCTTTTTTTCCCTGTTTGGGGCTTAAACAGGCAGCGGGATGCCTACTTCCTAGGCTGACGCAGGCATTTCTCCACTGTCACAGTCACGGGTCGCTGTGGCACGGTACCCAGCTTTAGTGAGGCATTCCAGATTCACTCTGCAGCAAGAGATATACACAGCTGTATTTGTGCACGCTAATTTATGCTGACTTGCCTAATTCTGAGTGCTTTGCTGCATCCATTGCACTGTTGGGAAGCCAATAGTCAGCTCCTGTGGAAGAGTTCCTCTTTTGTGACTGCAGCTCCCTTGGTCTCATTACTGACCTATTTCTTACCTTTTATCTTTTGCTTACTTTTATTCCCTGTTTACAATCTAAGACTTGTCCTGGGAATGTATTTTTCTTTATCTAGTCTGATAGAGTAAATAACGATGGAGATAAAGGTGTGGGTGTCCTAATGAGGAAGCAATGCAACATGTAAGAAATCAGATGTGTTTGGCAGGACCTAGACTTTTGATAGAGATGCAAGTGTGATACACAAAGCTAAGATGGCACTAAAGACTTTTATTCTTCAATAGAGGGAGCTGCTTTTGTTTCCAAAGTGAATTCTGCTCTTTTCTTGTGTGCATGAGGGCAGTGCTTGCAAGACAAATTTGTTAGCCCGGTAAGTATAACACTGGGAAACATTAGCGAGTTGCAAGAAGGTACTATAAGGACTGCATGCTAAATTTAATAATTAAAAAAAAAAAAGTGTTACTGTACTGCTCCTACTGCAGCAATTTGACTGGCAGGAGTCTTGAGGAAACCCATAGAAGAGGCCCCAGGTGGGCACCCATTATAAGATATTACTGTGACTTTAAAAAATTATCAGCTTGTTTTACATTCTTTAGGAAAAGACCTAGCCTTTCCCCTTACAGCGCTGCAGAATAATGAAGTTAAATAATAAGCACCTTGGACAAAGTTTATGAGTTTGTGTGGTCACATTCTTGTTGGCTATAACTGACTGCAGTCTGAAATCTTCCTTTAATATGTGATTAAAGTGTGCATGTACATATGTATACCTATAAACCTATATGTAGACCTAGATGCAGGAGAAGGAGATAAACAGCTTTTGGCAAGCCTTGCTTCCCTGTCTAGTATCATCCTGTAGTGACAGAGCATCTCATCCCTTTCTTAGATCTGGGATGATCAAGTAACGGCCAGTTCTTTATTCACTGCTCATGGTCTCAAAAACAATGTACATGAAGATAGAAATTAATCTGCTTTCTGGAGAACAGAGGAGATAGAGTGAGAAGGTCTAGTTAAAGTGCCCTTGACCCTTGACACATGCAATTAGATCACAGCAGGAAAAAGAGACACCACATAATTCAGAATGAATCCTTCAGTATTTGATCGTGAAGAATGGCATTGTCATATTCCTGGTATGCCTTCAAAAGAAATTTAGTATAGACTTTTTTTTCCATATACCAAATAGAAGCATTCATTTTCCCTTCCCCATCTCCAGCTGATCCATTTAGACTTTGAGTGTTATTTACTTTTCAGTTTCCTGAATTTATTTTCGTCTGGTTTAGCAGAAGAGCTGGCAAAATGCCATGATCATATTGATTTATTAAAAAAGAGAAGAAAAAAGAAAATGAATGCAATTGAGTATCCAGCTCTGCTGGAATTTATTTGTGGTGTCAGTGAACGCTTCTTTGTTATAAGATTATAGGTTCTTTTAAGATAACACATTTCAGCTATACATTTTTCTCTCCAGCAGCAAAGAATCTTGTTTTCAAAGGGGATAGGAGAAATATTGGGATTGAGGACTGTGGAGAACATGATATACATTGTAAAAGGCCTGTAAAACAAATTAATTAGACTGACTGTGGGTAGCGTTGTTTTTCCTCAGACTGTCTGATCATGCTGCGTGTTTGCTGTGAACTGCTCATCACTTTGCAAGTTCAGGTCCAAATTTCTGCTATGAAATTTTTCAAAGATCTAGAATACCTGCTGCTGAACAAGAGGAGCATCTGCAAACAGCTGTATTCTTTCATTTTTCTCCCTATTACCTGTGCTCCTTCTATTCCTGAGCCACGGCTGCTCCTGCACTTTTCTCTTTATATTCTGTTGCCATCTAATACTGTTTGTGTCCGAGATGCTGCCTTGCTTGACCTTTTGTTTGCCTTCATCATCCTGTGCGCTGAGTAATTGTCATTCCATGCCCTGGGGCTCCCCCAGTCCCATCTGTTTAAAGTCTCTAGCATGCCATTACCTGCACTGCGTTATTTCCATCACAAGGAAACATGGCCAAATCTTCATAATGTGGTTCTCTCTAAAGAGAAAAAGTGAAAGCTTTCCCTTTGCTTCAGTGAGCTCCCTGTGTGTGAGCCTGGTGCTCTGCAGCTTCTGTCGCTGGAATGGACTGCCGGTATTTCTCCATCTCATTGATTCTCCGTCTCAATTTGAAATCTTGCTTGGGGAGGAAAAAAGAAATTCTCCTTCAAGTTATGGAGTTCTGTTGTCGAGAGCAGTAAAGCACTAGTGGTGGGATTTATATATCAGAGGCTGGCTGATAACAATGCTGTACCGAAATAAGTCTTTTGATGCTAACATCTGTTCTCGGTTTTGTTTTTCTTTGCCCTCTTGTTTAGAATTTGGAATGGTTTCCCTGATATTTTCCGCAGCATTGGCCTACTTCCCCTCGCGCCCTCCATTCCCTCCCAGTGTGGCTGCAGCGAGTCAACGGCTCAGCTACAGGAGAAGTTTTTGCAGGCTCTTAAGGTAGGTCCTCATTGGGTTTCCACTTCAAAGCAGATCAGTACCTAAATAAATAAAAACAAGTGTGCTTTAATCTTCTCACTGAGCAAACAAGTTGGTTTGTAGTGCTTTTAAACAAAATAAAATTAAATATTAATGCTGAGACATAAAAGGATGCTAACTGCCAAAAAGCAGATGTTAAATTTTAAATCATTTGGTATATCTCAAGCCTTCATGCCCAAGTCCTTCAGAACCAACACTGCTTTAGTCATCCTGTTAGCACGGCTTTTCTTATGCAATTCTTCTGTTACATCAGGTTACACAAGATTGTTAACAGCGTGTGTACTGCTAGGTGTGAGATAACGATTAACAACACTGAGCATAACTAACTAATAAGCTGCTTTCTTCCATGCTTATTATATTGGAATGAATTTGGGGTTTGCTTGTCATTCAAAGGAGTATTCAGCTGTTTTCATTCAGCTGTGGCAGCAATGAATGAACTATCTGAAACCATTATTTGATCTATTAAATCTCTCTATGTTAAAATATGAAGGGGGAATAGGGGAAGCATCTCCAGATGTGTTTCTGGACATGTTCAAAGGTGAGTTAGTTTCCTTTAAATTTGTTGGTTTGGTTTGGTTTTTGTTTGTTTGTTTGTTTGTTTGTTTTTTAAAAAAAAAAGGTTATAAAGAAAGTGACATCTCCAGCTTTGCAACTTCTCCCACTTGGACTCTTTTGCTAAGACACAGTCCTGTCCCCGCAGTGTTTGTACAATGACTTGTGTAATGGGAATCTGATCTCCGAGGAACAGCTAAAGCAGCTGTAATATTAATGCTGAGTAATTGTAAAGGCCCGTGCCCTATACGTGATACTGCACGCATGAACTTCCTGGGGCAAAGAACCGCTCCCGTGGTGCAGAGATTGGCTGACTCCACTGACACTGGGGAATTTCAAACTCTTGCTGTAGTTGTCTCTTGTGTGGTATCGTGATAGGGGCTGAATCTGCGTACAAAGGGTAGCTTGGAACTTAGTAATTGTGGAGCTTTAGGCGTTTAGTTATTACAGACCTATTGCGGGCTGTACTTTCCAAAAGCATATTTAGAGCCAGCAAAAACAACTCAGCCCTAGTTGTCATTGTTTGGGTTTTTTTTCTTTTGGTTTTGGAGGCTTTTGTTTGAGTTTGGGGGAGTAAATAGTTTAAAAGATGCTTAATCTTGTGTGTTCATCATGAAGCAGGCTGGCAGTTGGGAGAAGGTGTGAGTACAACTGGCTGGTTAGTCTGCAAAGTGACCTACTCAGGATATTAAAAAATAGCAGTTCCCATAAGGACACTTAACACACACAATAATGCTGTTATGCATCCAAGCTGGTGTGCCGTGAGACCCTGCCTGAGGGCTGTGTTGTAAAAATGTTGCTGTTGAACAGAAATCCAAACAGCAACTGACTCCGCAGGTGAAATATAAAATTTTTGTTGACAGTACTCCATTTGGGAGCTTTATAGCTATTAGATTGCTTGTTCAAAGTGTTGTAAACAGTGGACCTGAGATACTGGTAAGGTCAGGAGGTAAACAGGAAAGTTGGCTTGCTATTAACAATCAATGATACTTAAGAAAACAAACTGGACGCTTAAATAATGAGCATAGTTTGTAGTGTCTCCAAGAACCAAGAGGTTTTTTAAAATGCAGTCAGGTAGATTGTTATGTCTCCCTTCCCTCTGGTCTTTATGCATTCTTCCATGCTACCCCTTATCAAAGGCACTTCTTCATTTCTCTGTACATCAAACAATCAACAGTTCATCATTAAACCCGCTTATCTGGGGGAGCCTTTCAGCAACAATCCATCAAGCAAGGGGGTTTTATAAATGAAACTGGTATCTGCCGTGCTTCAAGAGAAATCCATCATCTGGTTCGTTAGGCTTATAAACTCTGTTGCCTGCCTAATCTAGGCTTCATAATTCTTGGCACAGAGAGCCTTTCTTTTGACTTAATGGTGTAGACTGAAGGTAAGCAGGTAATGAGTACCAGGAAATCACAATTTCCCCTTATTGCAGACTTACCCTCTGGTATAAGTACTGTGTAAGGCATTTAGGATGTATGTCAGCTGGTGGGCTGACCCAACTATGCACTGAAGACACCCATGAGAATTGAAATGTTCATCATTTCCCTCTTCTCTTCCGCAGGCTGCAGTTTTATTACTTCAAAATAAAGCTATGTAGCATAACTTTACCATTAAATTCATTGACCTTTTTCCATGGACGCCAAAGGGATCTATCACATCCTTGCAACTCCCACACTCCTTCATGCCTTCAGGTCATTGAGCAGTCATCTTCATGAGCTGCTTTTTGCAGTTATACATATCTTCCTAGGGTCAACCAGCCCCTTTAAGCCATTTTTTTGGGACTTGCTTAGGAACTTGATTCTTCCTCCTGATTTGGAGGATTCCTGCCTCTGACAGATTATAACAATTAGCTGATCTCAGGTTATCTCCTGATACCAACTCTTTCAGCCTGCAGTAGGAGACGACAGATTAGTCATGGTTTGGGAGCTAAGCCTAAATCTTTTAACAGTCTATCACACACTGTGACAAGCATAGCTTGAATTTCCATTAGAAAAAGTACGGTGCCCTTTCTCAATTTCTTGGGTGAAGCAAATATGACTTGTTTTTCTCCCCTCCTATTTCAGAATATGCCACAAATTTCCATGGAAAAAATCTAATACAAGTGAATAGTTGATAAGTCTTAAAATCTGCATTAAGAAAACATGTTGTGATTTTTGCTTTGAAGTAATTAGATGCTTTTAGCACTTTATATTCTCAAGGGACTATGTAAGTAATTTTGAAATTTCATAACAGGTTTTTTGTGCATCATTATTTCTTTGATGAAACTTTTGTATGACATCACTATCCAGTGATGGAAGCTGCTCAGAATGTGCCTGATGTTAATAGGCACTGTCAAAGTTATTCTGAAAATGGTGACTGACTCTGACTGGGGTCCCCTCTGAACCAGCCTGTCTCGCAGATTCTAGTGGCGTTAAGTAGGTTTCTGGAAAAAAACAGAAGAAAAAGCCAATTCGTATTCCAGCAGAATGGTTTAACAGAGAGGCTAATGCTCATATCCTGTCATAAGGGCTGATATGATGGAAAACAGTGTGGGTTCACCAACTGATGGTGTGATAGACAGCACAGTTTTCTATTTTCAGTGGAGCAATTGCAAAAACAAATACAAGTGACTGGAGCCACGACGAGCGGAGCTGCTACTTCAGATGTGTGTTTCAAATAGCTGCAGGGCTAGCGCTAGCTATTGCTGGACAAGGGGACACAATGGCATCTGGTGATAGACGCCGCTTTGTCACTGCCGTGCACCTTTTCTCCTGGTCTCCTTTAGTCTGGAGACTAGGCAGGGTGGCAGCGTGGGAGCTTCTGTTACTGGAGAACATCGTGATGCAGAGCTGGTTCTCTAGTATTAGGACAAGGAGTTGGATGTGGCGCAGAACAGCTATTCCAAGTGCCAGTCTGTCTTGTTGCTTGAGTTACAGAAGACAAATATGGCACAGGAGATCTCGGTCAAATAAGTTACAAAATACTCACCCCCACCAAAAGTAGCTCTTTAATGAAGCCGAGGTTCAGATACCCAAAGATTCTGAATATTGAGCAAGTGTTATTTCAGAACAGTGCACTGAGACTTGTTCCCTCTTTGCAGTCTACGACATTGCAAAATGAGTACTTCCCCCTTTATATTGTTCTACAGATGTTGAATTAACTTTTACATGGGTAGTATTAAATAGCATCAGAAAACCTGCCTTAAGAGATGCCAAGATGATATGAGGTAGAGACTAGGAAAAGAGTATGGCATTCTTAAGAGAGAAAGAAGGTTGTCGGGAAGACAGCAAATGCTTTGGCATTCAGAGAAATAGCAGCAGCGTGTGGAAGAGCTGAAAGTTTGGGAGTTGTTTTTCTTTGCATTAAAAAATAAATCTGACATGAATGATACTGAAAGAGGAGGATACGTTCATGTGATAGAAATGTGTTATTCAAGAAGAGGATGTGTGAAAAGGAACAGTGCAAAAAAAATGCTGGCTGGTGTGCTGTGCGTGGATCTTCTAGGGGAGTAAACGTAAGCTGCAAAACTCTGAATGTTTTGGCGAGTATTTGAAGCTTTTTCCCCTCTCTCTTGGCTTTCATAACTGTGCTATCAAATTGCTGCCACATGCCAAGGAACTGGTACTGATCAGGATCAATTTTATGTAAATTGTTTGGGAATGGGGGAGCCACATTTTGTGGTTACACAGATATCCCATGGGATAACATTAGAATCACTGTAAAATCTCTCCACTTTAAAATGTCACTGTTGCAGAGTCCAAAGTATATTTTCTGTTTTTATTCCCAAATTGAAACGTTTTTGAGGAAAAGTTGGATGTCTCTTAGCAAAGATTTTACATTTGCTTTCAGTTACAGTGGGTGGGTGGGGGAAACTGGTGGTGACATTTGTCTGCCATCTCCTGTTTGGCTGTGTATGATGATGATGATGACACAGCTTTGACTGCTTCATCTTCACCGCATACTAAAGGTTGAATAATTTTAATTGGGAGGAAAAAGCAAACACGTTGACTATTCAGAGCAGAATATTATACTTGTTTCTGGTTTTTGGCAGTTCAAACTGTCAAAGTTTTCCAGTGTTGCAACTGGACCCATCTCATTCCTAGACCTCTCCCTGCCTTTCACCAAAATTAAGAGAAGTAGAACAGTTTAAAAAAAAAAAAAAAAGTACAGTTCAAAAAATATGACTCTCTGATTTTATTCTTGAAATATGCTTATTGTCATTTAAATTAGTGCTTCTTGTTCCTAACATACACTTAAGCTAAGTAGGTTGCCCATGCAAATGCATGGAAGAATTGCTTGAGGAAATGAGAAACACATGAGCCCAGCTTGTTACAAAAATCTTTCAACTATGTGGAGAGAATGGCTTTTTTATTTTTACAGTGCTAAGACAGTAACATCTCAGTCACTGGAATTTCACTGACATGGCCAGATACCTTTCTTGTTTTTCCTGGCTCACTGCTTCTTCAGACCTCTGCTATTTTTCTCAATGGGCAGAATATAGATTGTAGGGTGTCATTTGCTCTAGCAGCTAATCTTGGTGCAGTTTCTAATATAAGCTGCAGCTAATTGCGTATGTTTTGTCTTCACAGCAATTTCCGATTCTTGATGATTGCTTTAGCCTATGCTATACCACTGGGTGTTTTCTCTGGCTGGTCTGGTGTTCTGGATTTGATATTAACGCCGGTTCACGTGAGCCAAGTAAGTATCTCCTGACTGATAATCAGCAGCTATTTTGTAAGTGGCATGTTTTTATTTTGCACTAGCATACAATTTTATCAGCTTTTTATGTTTAAGCTTCTATTATTACATATGGACCACTTTTCTCTTGAAATTTTAAACAAAATAAGCTGTAGCTTTGGCATCCCAAACTGTCATGATTCTCCCTGCTGACTCTCCACCAGAGCTGGGTGTGTTAAGAATTGTACACACCTTTTGACAAGAAGGAAGAGGTACATAAACAAACAGGAGTATTGTTGGCAGCTGCACCTTTAGTAAAATAAGATAATGTTTACCAAGTGGAAAAGATGAAGTGGGGAGAAGAGGATTTCTAAGGCTTTGATAGAGTATTATAAAAATCCAGAGAACATTATGCAGATTCTGTGAAGAGAAGTCACATTTGGGGCATAGGCTACTTAGTCATACTTTCTTTCAGTGAGTTTATTTCCTTTTGAATATACTAGAAAAAGTCTTGGACTTCAGATTGTTGTCAGGGGCTGCTGCTAGCAGTTTGCAGCTCCTGCACGCCATTTGTTTTGGAAGTAACATCTTATCATTTTATTTTCTCAGCTTTAATGCATTTCTCTGTTTTGTTTTGGTTTGTTTTTTCCTGTCAGGTAGATGCAGGCTGGATTGGATTTTGGTCTATAGTTGGAGGTTGTGTTGTCGGCATAGCAATGGCAAGGTAGGAATAATTACATGTCCTTCTCCATTTCTTCAACTGTGATCCTTAGCTTACAGCTTATCCTCTTAATAACATAACATGTTTTGTCTCATCTTCTATGTACTCAAAATGGAAAAAGCATAGTTCTGGGGTTATGTATTTCTTGTAGAGCAATGATTTGAATATTCTATGTTAGTGGTTGTTGGGGGTTGAGAACTCCACATGCGTGTGCCTCAATTTGGCAAGTCATACTCTTACTCCTGACAAGGGCTTCTTGTGTGCTCCTTTAAAACACAGTTCTTGTCAATTCAGCTGCCTGGTATGAGGGAGAACCCATTGTAGCACATTTGGAAAGCATTGAGAAAATTAGTGTCTGTCTCCTTCCATCAACGCTTTTGGGCACATTGATTCCGGAAGGGTTATTGGGAATTTAGCACAAGCAGCCTACCCACAATAACGTGGGTAGGCTGCTTGTGGTTCCTTGGTAGAAAAGTTAATCTGGGCCCATTTTGGCCAGGTTGCTGGATTCCTATATGGCCTAAGTATTTTTTGCTATACTGCTATGGGTATTATGCTTATACCTACACTTTTTAAATATCCAGACACAGTGTGCTCTGGTCATCATGAATGCTGATAACATGGGGAGCGGAAAAGCAAGGAATGGATTGCCCTTCCAAAATGCTGCATTTTTTTCATTGAGTTTCCCTTTTTATTTAAAAAAAAAAAAAAAAAAAAAAAAAGCTGGGGAAGGAAAAAGTCTTTTAGGAGGTACTGGAGCAGTGAGTTTATAAAACTGATTAAAACCAATAGCATGTTCTCCTTGCATCTGGTGGATATCAAAGCATTGTCCTGGCTTCTTTATGTCCACTCTTCAGACCCCAGGTCTGCAAAGAGTTTAGCGCAGGTGCAGGGGTACGTCATCATTTCAGTCATTGTGGGATTGCAGACCCAGAGAGGCATCTTTTTAGGATGGAAATTGAAGCGCTCTCTTTTTTTTTTTTTTTTTTTTTTTTTTTTTTTTTTACTTGCTGTGCATCATCAGCGTACACAATGCATAAAGAAATGCGAGGTTTCTCATGCTGACATTTTGCAGGCTGCCTAGCAACTGCGACGGAGGGAGAGGAAAAACTCCTGACCTAGAGAAAAGAAACAAGCGCTTCCCTCCAGTCCGCTCCAGGTGCAGGCCGAAGGACTTAATCTATTGAAACAAAGTTCACACCCTGATTTCCTCTAAAAAGAGTTACTTTTGATTAGCTAAGCTCAGATATGAGGTTTTGTCTCCAAGAGTAGATGTTTAAAGCAACTGCTGTAAATGACGCAGATGCTGCAGCAGGTTACATGCTGGAGCAGGTAGCATTCCCAGTTTAATCTTTTCAATCCTGGGTTAATCTCTCATGTATTTGCATCTTTTCAATAGTAGAGAGGCACCCTTAGCAGCTCACTTAACTTTGTTAGGAGAGAATCTGCTGACTCAATGCCAACATGCAAATCTCAATCTTTATGGTAGATTAATTTATTTAATATATGGCCTGGGTTAAGTTTCAGGAATTGCTGACAGTCTCTTTAACTGCTTTAAAATTGATTTCAAACCTTGTTGAAAACCAGTATTTTGTAGCATTCAGAGCTTTGCTTTTGAATAAATTAAAAAAATACCAACAGTCTGCCCCCAAATATGTCTTTCTAACTTGGGTAATACACAGTTCAAATGGGAGGGTTTGCGCACAGAAAGGGAGGGAGGAGGTGATTTGTCACTCCTGATGGATGAGTCTCCCTCCTAGGCCCATTCAGCATTTATCTGTGTAGGGTTGAATCAATGACGAGTCTGACTGTAATCTGCTGAAAGTTGTAATTAGGAAAATTAAGTAATGATTCTTGTCAAGGCTGACAAGTTGATGTATTTCAGTGTCAGAATTGTGATTTGCCAAGCAAGCAGCTCTGTCCCTTAACCACCTCTCAAGAAGCTGTTGGGTTTTGGTGTGTTTGGGTTTTTTTCTTTTTTTTTCCTGCTAATTTAGCAAAGCAAAATTGGTGCAGTTTAGGAATTTGCTCCTTCCATTTTTGTCAGTGCAGATTCTGCCATTTAGAGCTGTAACAGCCTGAGCCTTGCCCTGGAGCATTTGGTCCTGCACTTCACAGTTGGTGTTAAATCATCTATATTTAAAGTAATGTCCAGTTTGGAAATTTGTTTATCTATCTCATTTTCAAAATGGTGCAAGGTTTCCTCAGCACAATACATAAATCCTTCTGCTCTTCACTCACTGCTGTCCCGATAGCTGTGTACTTAGATATGTTTAGCTAATTTGTATGATGCATTTTTATAATTGAAAAGCCTAGGCTATTTTGGGCAGCTGGAAGGTGCTGTACCCTTCACTGGTAGTTTTCAAATGATACTGGTTTGAAGAAAAGCAGTGTCAAAGAGCGACATTCATATCATTATATGGAAACACAAATCTATTCCCTTTTCTCAGATTATTTTTTTTTTTTTTTGCCACATTTGCTAATTATCGTAGAGACTTGTGAGGTTTTGTCCTCCATGGCTCAGTTTTTCTTTCTGCTTTTAACTTGCCGTGTAGTCAAAATGTTGAGACTTTATGACATGGTGATAATTTCCTTAGCAACAGACAGTGTTGTCAGCAATGTTTGTGATTTTTAACTGTAGGATGCAGCCTGGGGCTGGATTTGCAGGGTTGCAGGAGACTATGACCAGCAGTAGGCTCAGAGGTCTGTCTGAGTAAGAATACACCTCCTCTCCTGGTGTGCCTACTTCTTCAGCAGCTGCAGACATCCCCTTACATGCTAGACCATGAAGAAGGATTTAAACAGATCAGAGAGTTTTGAAAGCAGATACTGGGGTCAGAGGACAAAAATAATTTCTCTCATTTTTTTGATTGAAACAAGTATTCTGAAGAGTTGGCTGGATTTACGGTCTTCTTTATTCTCCTGTAACCAGACAAGAAGCAGAAGTTCCTTGATTACCAAGTTCTAGCTAGTTTGCTATGTCTTTTTTTCCCATTATTTCTGTTGCTGGCTGAATTCAGTAGCTGCATAAACCTTTCAGTTTGTATTTGACCCTTCTGGAGTCCTGTGATATCTGAGAGCTTCTTGGAGCACGCTGCTACTACTGATACCCAAACCAGGATCTGTGTGACAAAGAGTTGCAGCTGCTCAGTAAAGGTACATATTTGCTGCACTTAACTATCTTGATTTAGTTGCGTGTCGTCCTCCCATCCCCACATATCCCTGGTGGTAGGCTAGAGATGGAGGAACCCCCTAGAGATCCTTTCCAGGCCTGTTGTCTGTATATGTCCCTCCCTGAAGGCTGGTGTTTCTTACACTGTGTTTCATTAGATGAGATATACGTAGCTGCTCTTGCCTGTAAGGAGAGGGAAGAGTGATGGCAGGCAAAGTGGGGAGTCTCTGTGGAGGAAATCTAAAGTTTGTATTTCAAGATGCTTCTGAGAAGCTTTTAAAATTGCTGATTTTGACCCCAGTGATCCCAAAGAATAATTAAAGAAAACGGCAAACCACCGAAAAGAGGTGATCCTGATTGCTGGATTTGGATTGTCAGAAAAAAACAACACTAGCAGCTAACCTCTGACTGTTAGAGATTAATGCATAAGCCACTTGAACGCTACAGTCATAAACTTTTAAGATTATATGCAGCATTGATCTTCCTCTACTGCTTATTGAATTACTCACTGCTAAATTCAATGTGGAATTAAAGCACAGGGAGAATCAAAATAAGAGGAAAGAAGTGGGGGTGTTTTTTGTTTTCTGGTTTGGGTTTTTTTTCGGATTGCATTACGCGTACATCTCTTGTGGTGTATGTAAAGCTAGGCTTCCTAGTTCTCAAAATCTTGGTAGCATTATCTGTTTTATCAAGTAAGCTATATGGTATCTGCCTGTGAAGTGACCTTTGTAAGGGGCAAGGAGGCAGTTAGCTGAAAGACGGGACAGATTTCATTATGGACCAACCTAGGTGGATTGTGCTGCTGTTAGCCTAATCGAGGTAGGCGGCTGTGAGGGTAGAAGACACTCTTTAGACATACGTACCTAACCCAGCCAGCCCAAAATCCCATCTGCTAAGCAGGAGATTATAGAAAATTACTAGTGGATAAATGACATCACCTTTTCCTAATATATCTTTTTTGGTAGCTGTGTTGAAATCCCTTTTGAAAAGAGCAGATGCACTGATAATTATGCCATGTGAGTGCTGGTCAAATGCATTCTGTCGCCTTGAAAGAAAAAGGAAAAAAAAAATACGAAAAAAGCAATTGTATTATCAGGTGGTGTAAGGATTATGTTCCCCTCTGTGTAACAGTCAGACTGCCAAAGGACTTGTGGGGCTGTCCTCCCCCAGACTGTCAGTGGGGCACGTGTGTAGGAGAGGAGTGGCACCAACCTCTTGGTTTCTAGGGCGTTTCAACCCAAAACAGCCATGGGCAGTGACTGCCTGTGTAGAGTTCCTCCTTTGCCTAAGCCACCAAGAGCTTCATTGCCAATGCATCCAAGGGTTCAGAAGCTGTTCCATGTCATCTTCGATCTAGGGATTCTGGTATTTGGAGTTTTGTCATTTCCCACAGGAATGAATCTTGACACTTAACTATGTCTTGAATGAAATGCAGCAGCTTCCTCACATGCTAATTGAGCGGTGTGTCTGCCAAGGGAGACTGGCAAACGCTGACAAAACAGTGATGTAAGTATTGGTGTGATGTTGTGTCCAACAAATGCAGAAGGGGAAGAAAAAAAAAAAAAAAAAACCCCAACCCTTCCTGTATACCAAGTGTTTTCAGTTGATGCCTTGAGAATTGTTCTAGTTTGGTTGTTATTTTGTGACAGCTGAAAAATCCACGGCTCTTCAGCTTGACAGCTAGAAATAACGCCATTCTATAAAAACGGGGTTTTTTCTATTTCTGAAAATGAGGAATGATTTTTAAATTGTTTTTATAGTCTCCAAAATGTTTAATGAGAATATACTGAATTAATTGTCAAGCATCACATTTAAATAATAAGAAAATCAGCATTTGTACTGCTCTGATCTGTGCTTTTGTTTTAGATTTGCAGATTTTATCAGGGGCATGCTGAAGTTTATACTGCTGCTGCTTTTATCCGGAGCAACGTTAGCATCAACCTGGTTCACTCTCACCTGTCTAACCAGTGTCACTCATCTGCCTTTAACCACAGGTATCAACAATGATTTTAATTCCTCTTATTTATAATTGGTATTACAGGCAAATATTTGCACTCTTAAAACAACTATATTATAACCTGGTTTGGTAACTTTAGTAATACAGTAGTTTTACCAAGGGGAAAAAAAAAAATTTAGAAAACCTGAATCTGAAATCTCTTTACCAGCTTTGAATAACTTCATAAAAAGATTAAAAACTAACAAAACCCCACAATAAGAACCCAGAATATACATTTTAAATTGATTTTGGGACCGAGTGTTTTTCTGGTTTGAGTGTTTTGGAATAACAGAGATGAGAAATAAACCAAGAAAAATCAGATGAATGGGAGTAGCATTGTGTATAAGAAACAGTGACGTGTCTGGGAATTTAGGGTTTTGAAACTTACATTAATTATTGGAAACATGTGGTACAGTTCAAACCAAGGTGACCCATAGTATTTTGGGCCATCTAAATCTATCCCTGCACTGTGCTGTCCTCTTTTTTGCACCTGCATGCAGGTTCAGGGAACTCTTCCAACCCAAAATTACCTCAGCCGATGCCTCAAAAAGATGGGGAAAAAAGCTTTTGTCAAGAGTTAGGGGAAAAGCTCAGAGGTCTACTTGAGCTGCCAGTGAGCTGTACCCTTAGTTGAAAATTAGCATTTGTTTGGTTTTTGGTTTGTTTTTTTTCTTTTTTTTGTAAATCTGTCCTTCACCTTACTGTCTGCACCAAAGGATTGGTCCACCTGTGATTCCAATAACCTCAACAGAGTAATAAGTTACAGTAAAATTTAGACATCGAGATCTTTAAAAACATTTATTTATTAAAGAATTCTGTAAATCCATTTTAAATAAAGTGACATCTTTGTTATAGGCAAGTTTATGCATTATAGGAGAAATAAAAATTGATTTATTCCCTTTTTTGATAAATAGTTTGGTGTGGAGAGTAGTATATAAAATACAAATTAACTTTGAGTTTCAGTAAGTGTCCTTGGTGCATTGCATATGTCACCACTATAAACTAAAGTGGGTACAGGAAATTGAAATACATGATCAATTCAGGAGAAACACCATCTGGATGGATAGGTCAAATTTGTGATTTATCTTGAAATTTCAACTTTTTCAAAAAATTTTCTGTTTAAATAAAACGTAATTTAATCGGTAAATCAAATTTCATGGTATCTATTGTCATACCAAATCACTACACTTTTCTTTTCCATCAAATCTAAAATAAATGCAATAAAAGCTTATTTCTTGTGCTTGCCTGCTTCATCACTACAAGCCTGCAGTAATGTAAATTTTTACAGTAACTCTATCCTCTGAATTGATGCAAAAAGCCAAACACATAAATGTCCCTTCAAGTCTATGCATAAGAATGAAGCAGAGAGGTTTCAAGAGGTGAAAGTCACTGCGTATGTACTCACCAATGATCCAAAACAAAACTGATGGAATGATTTTATTTTTTTCTAAAGAACTCGGCATGCAAAATAGATTCTGGAAGAATTCTTTGTTGTTTATAGTATGTGGGTGCATTACAATGGGGTTTTTTTTGGAAAGGTGGTCCACTGTAAGGACATAAAAGTGCCTAAGGTATTTGGAGTTTGATATAAAGTATCTTAAATGATCATCCCTTGCTAAAAAATCTAAGGATTGGGTTGCTTTTATCATGCAGTTATCGCTTCTTTTAAAATGAATGATTGCTTAGATTGAGTTGTAAATTATATTTTAGAGTTTTCTGTCTGTGCTGTTCTTATAGATGTCACTGTAAATGTTGAACCGTTTTCTATAAAACACAAGCTTGTTTTGAATAGAAATGCGAGCAATATGGTGCATTCCTCTAAAAAAGGCAATCTAAAGCATCAGGGCCTAATGTGCAGCCACCAAATAAGATCTCTTTTTTTCTTCTGTGGCATAATGTTTAAACTTCATAGATAGGTTGTGGGGGTTTCATATCAGCCTTTTTTCTCATTAAAGTTCATATAAAATAGATGTAATGCGCCTGTTCAATTTAGATCCTTGTACACAGAAAAGCAGTGGTATATCTTCATGAAATATGCTGTTATGGATGAAAACACACAAGCTATTTCGGCTAATTTATAGGACTTCATGCTAGATTATTCCTCAATGTAACGATGGAATATGATGATGACCTCTGCATTCCACAGTAATTGGGAGAAACGGTACATTTGAATTGATTTGGATGAACTCTTTTTTTTTTTTTCTTCTTTTAATTAAAAGTTTGAGATGTAGAGTATATCAGAATATAAATGTAGGAGGTCAAATGCAGGCCATTGGCTGGCAGCTTTGGGAAGTGATTTGATGTAGCTGGTTAAGGTGGAAGTCACTCTGCGTGTTCAGTGGACCAGTGTTAACAGTGGACTTCCAGGTAGTTATCCTCTGTGTGTTTTTGTAGAGCTGGAAGATGTGCAAAACCAAAGCACCCATCATTGTGGGTTTTTTCGGCTTTGGGGTTTGGGGTTTTTTTTTGTAGTAGAGGTCCACGTAATGTTTTGTATCCCAGAGCTACTTTGCAGGCATCACTGAACACCTGCTGCAAAGCAGGGATTGTTGTGTTATTGAGGGCAACAGGGTTTGATGTTGCCAGAAGGTTAATAGGCTCCTCAACTTCTTCCTGTCCCATGGCAAAGAGCACAAGTGTTCGGCTTGGCGGTGCTACAGAGCCAGCGATGGATCTTGGTCCGCACTTTCAGCCTCATTCAACTGCTGAGGCAGAGCAAGCAGGGTTCAAAACTGACCAGGATGGAAACTTGTGGGGGTGTACGTTTGGTCTTGCGAGGAGGTTTTCCCTTCCAACTATCTAGGTCCCATTTTGTGAGGGCCTTCCCCTTTCTCTCTTGCCCTTCAGTGTTCTCAATGAGCAAGTCAGATTTTGCCCTACAAAACCACAAGCATTGCCATCTTCAGCAATACCTGGAAACTTCTGAAATACTCACATGACCTGGTGGACTGGTGGTCCATCAAAGGAGCTCTTCCACGGGACAGAGCAGTCAATTCTGATGAGGAAGCGAGGCACCGCATGGGAGCCTTTGTACTGGCCCAGGTGTTACCTAGAGATGAAGGCTGGTTAGAGAACACCGTCATCATCTTCATCTCACCTGACAGCTGCTTGATCCACAAATAAAGTTTGCGTCCATAGGTAGACCTTGCCAGTGGTTTCCCCAGGTCCAAAAATAGTCTTTTCCTTTAGCATGTGGATATTGTGTGGCATACATGCTCCTTCCCCTCTTTTGAAAACCCTCTGCCTGTCTCTCACCTGGTCTCCAGAGTAAGCACGCAGGTGGGTATATTTGCATGGGAGCAGGCTTTTGAAATGCTAAAAAGATGAGAGAGTTTTGCCAATTATTCCCCCTAAAGGGAAAGGAAGAAAATCTCTGAAGATTTGTTTTTAAAATGCAAATAAACTATCTCCCCTCTTTTAATCAGTATTCTTTGTAGCAGTTGTAGTAATGTCTGGTTTAAATATTGGGGAGGAATTGTATTGAAAAAATGGTCACAGCAAAATGTTTTTTCCTGCACTTGTTTGTATAATATTCTCCTAATTCCTTGTAAATAGGCACGACATCATTTAAAGATATTTCCTACAGAATGTAATTACTTAGAATGGAGACCTTTAATGCAGATATTAAAAATCAATGACTGCTTTGTGTTTTCTTTAAATGTTAGTGTTTAGCATTGTTTGTATTGTGTAATGCCTGCATTGCTCTGCATTATCATAATATGCTCCATTTTTTCCTCCTGCCGCAGAGCAAGACAAGTTTTCTGTCATTTGCTGACTTCTTAATGTGTCTCCAAGAGATTTTATAAAAAGTGTATTTGGAGTCATGTGTATGAACCATAACAGCCAGTCAGGGGGGAAAAAAGAAAGCAAGGCAATAATGGTATAGGGCCATCATAGCTACTGTGTCATCTGTTTAAAACACCTCTCATCAGCTAATCACAGCTCTTAAACCGATTCCAGAATCGAGAGGTTTTATATTTTAAGCAAGCTTGAATTTTCTTTTAAGAAATTTTAATTTTAATGTATATTATTTGCATTTTTCTGCAAGTTTCAAAGACAGTTTTATGTACACATTGAGCTTTAAAATAGTTTTCTCCATTGAATTCCCAATGCAGCTGCTGATCTGTTTCTCTGTGCCAAGTCCATTGTTAGTTTGCTTTGTACTGAGCTTCATTATGTGAATTTATGTACAATGGGATACTTTGACCCAAAATAATTGTGTAAGGCATTGTAATGCCAGTTTCGGTATCTTGCCACTCTGTATTGCTGGTAGTATCTCTGGATACAAGTACTAGCATTTTCCGAAAATTGATATGCAATGCTAGTTGCTCACAGCTCAGATTGAATGTTTTCAGTATAGCATATCAAGAATATTCTAATATTTATGAGCACATTCAGCAGAATTTTGCTTTACAAAATCTTTTCTAGTGCTGCATGGCAGATACTCTGAATACGGTGGCAACTCCGTGAGCTGATGACTATATTTAGGTAAAGCAGTCTACACTTTACTTTCAGGTTCAACAGATCGAACATTAGAAACACATCTGTCTCCCTGTCCTCATCTACAAAGCACAGTACTGAAAAGAGAGAAGTTTATTATTTAATACTGATTTGTTTATTCTTTGAGTTTAATTTCTTTACTAAAAACAAGATGTGCTTGATAAGGATGAGGCAGGGGACCCAGAGGATAAAACAGCGGCCTGAAAACATTTCTTTTTCTAGCTTCAGCATTAACCTTCGTACGGCTGTGGGCAAATCATTACCCGCACTCCCGTTGTGCTTTTCCCACTCGTAAGGGAACAATGACCTTTGTCTTCATGAAGGCTTCTGTAAATCCACAGATAGAAGAGTGCTTAAAGAAGAACTAACTTAAGGGGTTTATTTAAAAACAGTTGAAAACCCCAGTGTTAAATAGTGTACAATGCTTGAAATTTGGGAGGAGCATTTCAGGGATGAGTATCTATAAATCTGGTCACTTTAAATATCCATTGATAGCAA